GCTGGAGAGCACGTCCAATGTCCCCACCCCCCTCGCCCGCCCCGTCTCCGATGATGGAATCATTTCCTATCACCACGAACGCGGCAAGAAACTGACCCCAATCATTGAGCCGGAAAGTTTTACGCTTCCGCCTTCCTTACATTCACATGCCTTGGGGGACCGCAAGCGGCTGGATTCCGAACCCTTATCAATCACGAGCCACGACAGCGAGACCACGCAGGCGAGCACTGAAGGTTACGACTTTTACGACACAGATGTGCTGGTCAAGGCTATCAACGTTCCGGGGTCCCCAAATCGTGCCCGGAAGCCTATGATCAGACAAGATTCAGATGATAGCTTCGCTCAAGTCTTTTCCATTTCGCATGGGAGCAGACGCACCACTGGCCTGACCAACTCCTCTGACGAGAGCGTTTCCGCGCAAGCCGCTCTTAGGGCTGCCCTCATTGGTGGTCCGCAAAACGCAAGCGTGAGCGCGAGCGCGAGCGCGAGCGATGATGGTGACTTTGGAAGCCGTATCCGTGGCATGCACATTGAAGAGTCGCCAACCAGCTTTCCGTTTCGAAGAATGCTCGAACGGACGGATACAAACATGAGCGCATTTACCGACGAACACCATTTGATCACACAAACCACAAGCGACAGCTTTGGCTCGCCATATCCCTCGCAGACAGATGCAGACTTCTCCATGGAATCGCCCCAGCGGCAACCCCGACCTCCTGTCGAGCCTGTTGACCCCGAGAAGGACTTTAGGTCTCCATTCATGATCGAGACTGACTACCTTAGCTGGGCCAATGACCCACCATACCCTTATCCCCTGCAGTCGGTATCGACATTTTCTACAAGTTCGGCCCCTCCCCTCCAGCCCTACTCGCTCATATCCCGTGCGCTCGCCTTTGAGACCAAGTCATCCGCCCTCAATGCGTCCGCAATCGTTCTCCTCCTCAAGCCTCTCATCCCCGCAGACGTTATTGACAACTTCCAAGCCGCCGCAATCCTCCGGCAGCACCACTCGCGCCTCATGAGCTTAAAGCTGTTTGTTGAAGCCTCCCTCCTCCGCAAACTGTGTATGAGAGGCTGGCCAGGAGGTGCACTGTCGTCGTGGGGCGACAACTATCCTGCCGTCTTCACACCGGCGCACCAAGGCGTCCAAGTCGGCTTCTTCTGCGCCGAGTGCCGCAAGCCACGGGAAATTGACCGCACCTCCGGATCGACCCAGTCCATCTGGCACTGCGACCGGTGCAAATCGGTCATGGCCCCTTGCGCGGTTTGCGGCCATCGCGATTCCCCGCCCGACATCCCTCTCCCACCCTCCACTTCAGAATCAGAACACGGCCCACAGCAAGCCAAGCGCGAGGGAGAGGAACCCATGCTCACCACATGGTGGTGCTGTCCCGGCTGCGGCCATGGCGGTCACTCGTCGTGTCTCCAGGCATGGCACTCTACGTTTGAGTCAGATTTCCACCTATCCGACACACCGCCCGACGGCTCCACTCCGCTCGAGTCCAGCGACGGATGCTGCCCCCTTGACGGGTGCGGGCACGCCTGTCTGCCCAGCCGCGGGCGCGTCGATAGCGTAGCAGCCAGAACCGACGAGGTGGCGCGGGCACTTCGCGAGGCGACGCGCGGGGCGAGCCGCATGACGCCCGGGATGGGCGCCGGCATAGACATGCTGTTGCCGTCCCAGGGAGGTGGGATTGACCGACTTGGGGAGCTGCACCACACCAGCGGGAGCGGGGGGGATCACCGCGATCCCCCTCATGGCGTGAGGAGTGACGGGCACGATGTGCCGCAGAGTAGGGCGGTGGAGAGTGTCAGGGAAACGTTGACGAATGCGGGGCAGGGCCATCATATCCCCGTAGGGAGTGCAAAGGCGGGGCTGGCGGCGACAACGAGTATTCTCAGCTCCAGCCCGGGGAGGAGTGGGGAGAGGATAGAGAGGGAGAGGAGAAAGAGTGTCAAGTTCGTGGCGACGGCCGAGGAGAGGTGATGCGTAAGTGTTTGATATGATATGATGTTTGATGTTTGGTGGTGTTTTGTGCTGTTTTTAATGTAGGAGGTTTTGTGCTTTAGCTGTAAGATCAATGATGATGACTAGTTGGAGAAGATGGGGGGGTTATTCCAGGACCGTAGTTGATATACCCAACTTGCATTGCAGGTTCATAATCTGTAGAAGAGAAGATACTACTACACTGTTGCCTCCCTCCTTCAGCATGACATCGATGTGTTCTTCGAGTTTGGCACCAGGCTGTTGACATCATACGTTGGGGTCAGCTGCCCAGGCTACTACTTGAAGTACTTTTGCAGGCCCAGCTTCAACAAAGACCAGTTGTGGTGCAGTGGTAAAATCTATAGTTCGTGTCGGCTTGCTGCCTATAAAACTTACAGTACACCTTTGAGTTCGAATCCCAGGTTGGCCTTTGTTTTTTTTGCATTTTGTTAGTCCTCCTTCCTCGCGAGATCTCTCTCCCTGTCTGACTCAATCATTTAGTTAGCTAGTAGCCAGCGCCTGTTTGCTTGCTTTTGTTTGTCTTTTGCTACATACGTTCCAGCATTCATTCAGCTATCTATCTAGGTAGGCTGTTAGTGTAGTATTTATCGTGTGATATTTACTGTTTTGTTCCCTACCTACCTAGTTGATTAGTCCATGCATTAGATGCAGCCTCATTAACGAGCGATGCGAGCATATAGTGACAGATGCGTCTCCTGTAATAGTTCGCGGAGCGGCATCGTTCCGTCACCTAAGTCTACAATCCCCCGTTCTAGCAAAAAAGGCGATAGCGGTGCATACACCCTTGAAGTCGGACTGCGGCTGTCAAGTTTTTGCACATGAGCACGCCAGAATGGGTCTTTAAAACTCTTATCGCTCCCCAGGTTCTTCCAGCTTCTGAAAATGAAGAAACGGTCAGAAGGATCCTCAGGGTGGGCTACCACGGTGAATGTGTAGTCTGTGTCGCATCTGCAGCAGCTCCGGACGTCGTCCCGTCCCGTTGGCTTTCTTCGCAGTCTCGGCAGCCCACCTCGTGGAATAGCAGGCAGAAGAGCTGTGGGTCGACCCGGGCCTTGATGTGTTCCTGAGGGAGGACCTTGACTTTCTGGCAGATGTCTTGGGCAGGGGTGCTAAAGTTTGCCGCTCTGTTGATATCGAAACAGGGCCCGAGGTCGAATTTCCGCATGTCGGACAGTAATTAGGAAAGGGTATTCCCTATGCCAGTGGAGATGATTGCAAATCTTGGGCTGTCTAATCGTGGCCCGGCCAATCTCGTAGATTGTTCTGCTGGGAGTGACAGCCGCTGGTAAGAAATAGCCCGTCATGATAAGCAAATTGCAAGCATCGTTGGGAGACACTCGGTAGTGGACAGATATACCCGCCCTAGCTCTAGCCTCCCCTTCCATGGGCCACCTCCTACCGACTCGATCAGTCTGATCCCGCCTCGGTACATGCGCAAGATCGACCCGACGAGCCAGTAAAAAGGTGGCGGGAGGAGCCGGTAGACGGTTCCATGTGTTGACTCGGATGCTGTCTCGGGGTTGCATGGATATACAAGAAACTCGCAATCGCAAGGGGAGCTGTGAGAGAATGTTACTCTTTCATAGTTGCACATCATTTTATAATTACCTCGGCCTATGATAAGGTAGACATAGGTCGACCGCTGGTTAGCGCGAGAGGAGGGCTACTTTGGACGCGTGGGAACTACTTACCATCGCGAGCCTTCTCAAGCCTGTAAGCAGCAGGGGGTTGGGAGGCCTGACCAATGCAATCATCGTTTTTGTTGGCAGTCTTTTCATTCTGCTGACTGGAAACTGGGCCGCCGTCGGAGCATGACGGTGGCGGGCTGGACGGTGGATTCGACTGTACGTTCCCCCAACGCTCGCCTTTTATCAGTGCTTTGATCCAAGAGAGTAATGCTAAAGTTTTGGGTGTCATTTTAGGTGCGCATTATTCCACTATATTCTCACCATCTAAAGACGCAATACGAGTGGTATTGATCTAGAACAATTTCTCGGGACTGGGATGTTCTCGGAGAAGGTTGATGATGGGCAGAAATAGGTTTTGTTGCCCAGCGTCCTCTCCATTTCCCAGGAGCTCCTTGACCTCGTCCCAGCTCTTCCAATGCCAGCCCTCACACTTTTCGGGCTCTAGAGTCTATACAATCAAGCGTTAGTGTGTCGAAGCCTTTTTGATGCTTAGGGGAAGGGTCAATTTGCCTCGGGCTGCTGTGCATCGTCGACGCGGCGACATGACACAAACAAGGTGATGTAGTGCTTGGAGTTGGCTGTAAAGACATCATTTGTTACGGCGACAACCTTGACGGCACGAACAACGAGGCCGGTCTCCTCAAGAGTTTCGCGCTCGGCACAGGCCAGAGGGTCCTCGCCAAACTCGAGGTGACCCCCTGGAAACTGCCAATGTCCTGGGGGTGTTAATTGAACTTGTTCAAAAGGCTTTCATTTGCGCATTTGCTTACCACGCCCATGGCTACCCTTTCGAACGCCCATGACCATTTTCTTGCTTTCTGCATCCTCGACAACGGCCGCGACACCTACTCGCACCACTGCATCTTGTGCTAGTGGCGTCATGATGGGGATTTTGAATAGGAAATACGGTATTTGTTGGCCAGACCTTCAGATTTCGGCGATTTCGGCGCGGTAAAAATGTTAGGCATAGGTAGCACTGATGCCAGCAGTTGATAACGGAGGGACTGTCGTCCAACCAACCACGGGCATCCACGCATCCCAGCGCAAGCGGTCCGCCGCGGAAATTGGAGAACATATCCATGCACAACTTGCTCCGCTGCGAGCGCACTGATTCCGAGTCCTTGGCTGTTTCCCGTGCACCAGTGCCCAAGCGCCAGAGACCCCGCTTATGACATGAGAGTAGCGGATCAAAGTGGACCTTTTCACGAAAAACTTGGGCGAGAGAATGCTGTGCCAATGTCCACTGACCCAGCACGCCCGTCATGTGCTATATTCTCTAGCCCATCTTCCAATCAGCAGCAACAGCCGGGCTGGCGCAATCCGGTAGCGCGCAAGACTTCTACTCCCGTCAGGATGATATCTTGAGGCTGTGGGTTCGAGTCCCACGTTCGGTGCATCCTTTTTTGTCTCGAAGCTTGCTGCATTTTTTGTCCCCGCCGATTCATTCTCCCCAGTCTTCAACAACAATAAGCCCCCCCCACCCAGTGCTTGCATTCACCTGCAAGGAAATGAAGCGCAAACACCAAAACTGAACGGACGACACAGACAAACTCCAACAGCTGCGAGCGAATCAACCAGGATTTGAGCTTGACATCTCGAGTCTGGATGAGATGTACACTCCGGCCATATTTTGTTTGTTCGTCCGATACATTCGAAGAGAGGGGCTCAAGTCCCGAAAAGGTACATTCTTTGGGAAGGCGCCCTCCTGCTCTGCAAGGCGCTGGGTGGAATAGGTCCTGATTGGTCGTGCGCGATGGCCCTCTAGCTCAGCTCTTGCCTGCACAGCCACCCAAGGCATTTCACGGGGAAAGCGCTTGGCTCCCTGTTATTCCCACATCTCCTGATTCCATTCCTCTCAATTGCCGCATCCATCAACGCCCGGCTACCACTGATGCAATTTTGGGATTGAGATGGCCGAGGTCGCTGGACTCGTCCTCGGCGCTGTTGGGGTCGCCGGCGTGATCGGTGCCTTCAAGGACACCATCGACCTGTTCAATCTCATTGCCGATTCGCGCCATCTCGGTCGGGACTACGAAATCCTCGAGACCAAACTGGACATTGAAAAGACGCTGCTGCTTCAGTGGGCAGATCGTGTCAAGCTTTTGAATCCAACGGGCTATGACGGGCAACTGGACGACCCCGGTACCCAACGACTGGTTGCCAAGATACTGGAATGCGTCGCCACACTCCTGTCCAACGCCCCCGATCTCCAGCAACGATACGGCTTGAAGGAGCTTCCTGCCGACTCTATCTCTGGGGATGGAGGGCAGCTTGTATCGGCGCCGCGGGTCGGCGATGTCCGCTGGGGGAAGTTCCTCGACAACTACAGGGCTTCTGCGGAACAAAAACGAAACTCAAATGCACCATCTATTCCTACCGTCAAGAAGATTCGTTGGATGATCCGTGACAAGCAAAAGTTTGAAGTGCTTATCCATGAATTGGCTCACTTTACCGCCAGGCTCAACGACGTCATTCCGATTACATCTGGTAACCATGGTGCATCTACACGCATCATGACCGATCAAGATCTCCAAGCCATTAAGGATCTGAGAGGTCTGAAAATCCTGCTAGAGGCATCTACTGGACTGCAAAAGACTGTCACGGAATCCACTCAGCACGTCATCGACGAAAGGTGCAAGACCTTCATCTTGAACAAACTTTGGTTTAGAAAGATCACCGACCGAAGAGAAAGTATTTCGCCAGCTCACAGCAAGACTCTGCAGTGGGTTTTGAAGCCAGGCCAAAATTCATCATGGGATGACCTGCCAGCCTGGCTTCGCTCCGGATCGGGTATTTATTGGATATCCGGCAAGGCTGGCAGCGGAAAGTCGACCTTGATGAAGCATCTGTTCTTGAGTCAACATCTCCGGTCAATCTTGTCTAGCTGGGCGGGAGAGAAGCAGTGCTCTCTTTGCGACTTCTTCTTCATGAACCTCGGGACGGTGGAGCAAAAGTCCCAGGAAGGCCTCTCAAGAACGCTCCTCTACCAGATCCTATCCGCCAGCCGCAACTTGATCCCCGAGGCACTTCCTCAGATGTGGAAGGAAATACACGACGCCGACGAACAAAAGGACTTGAATAATGTCAGTTTGCCATCACAGGCTGAGACGATACATGCCTTTAGCTTTATCGGCAATAGCCAGAGTACAATGGGGGGGCAGTTCTGCATTCTCATCGACGGCCTCGACGAGTTCGCTGGAGACTACATGGACGGTATAACCTTCATCAAGCATCTTGCGGCAAACAAGCACATCAAGGTGCTCGTCTCCAGCCGGCCCATCCCGGATTGCGTGGCGGCCTTTAGCGACTCGCCAGGGCTTCGACTACAGGACCTCAACCGCGACGATATATCGGCTTACGTGAACGACACCATCGGTAACCATCGGTACATGGATGAGCTCTTGAGGTCTGATGGGGAATGCAAACAGATGATACAAGACATTATCAACAAGGCATCAGGCGTGTTCCTGTGGGTGGTGTTGGCATGCCGGTCGTTGCTGAGCGGCTTTGCTGACCACGACGACATCTCGGAGCTGCGTCGCCGTGTCGACGAGCTGCCCCCGGAGCTCGAGGAGCTGTTCCAGCACATGCTTGGAAATATCAAAATACGGCACCAGGAACAGGGCGCGCGTCTGCTACGGTTTTGCTATATCCACCAAAAGGCCCAGTGGCAAAGTGCCAACGCCGGGCTCGGGGTCTACGCCCTCGGCCTTGCACTGCTTGGGAACTATAGCACCGACTTGAATCCTTTCGCGGTCCAACGCCTTTCGCATCGATTCCTATCCGACATTTGCGCAGGGCTCGAGGGGCGTCTCAGGAGTCGTTGTGGCGGGTTGCTCGAGGCATCGAGGGACGCCAAAATGGCCTGTCTCTCCAGCGATCGCTGCCGTTCCCACAAGAATCAATGCATCAACTTCAGGATACTCTTCATGCACCGCACCGTTTTTGAGTTTCTCAACGAGGCCTATGTTTGGAAACTGGACTGTCTCAAGCTCCCCCCAGGCTTCGAGCCATGCACAGCTCTTTCTCTCTACGGGCTGCATCTCACTCAGCAGAGCTTTCAGCTTGAGCCCTCCGACGCCGAGCTGACCATGGCCTTTCTCCACGACGGCCTTCGATGGGCAATTCTCGCGGATTCCCGGGAGCATGGACGTCCATGGATGTTCTTCGATGGTTTACGAGCCATCATCAAAGACCCTGTCGCTGAGTCTATATTTGGGACCTCTGGGCTCTACCAGAACTGTCTTGGCTTTCATGACAGGCAACGAAAACTCCCCCCGATCCGCGAGTCGCAAATTAGCCTTAGACTTGCTATTGAGGCTGGCGCTGTCAACTATGTAGCAACCCACCCCGGATTGCCGTTCCTGGTACATCACACCGCCAAACCATGTAGTTGCTGCCGCCCAATCATGTGGCGCGCGGTGCAGAGACCAGTCATGGACGCGGCATTCCCTCCCTCAGAGCTGTCCGCAGACGGTTGGGTCAAGATAGCCGCGGTCCAGCCGTCCCGTGACATGCTTCGGGTGCTGTTGGAGGCGGGCTGTGATCCCAATCAGATGCTGCCCGGTCCCAGCGCGCAGAAGACAACCTGGGATGCACTCCTCGAGCGGATCTCGAGGCTGGATTACAGACTCGTCGAGGATTCCGCTGCACAGAAATGGGTAGACCTTATCAAAACCTTTCTTGAAGCCGGAGCGGACCCTCAGGTGCTAGGTCCGTACATGGACGAGAGCAAACGTACTTGGATGACGTCGCTGGGCATGGACATATTTGGGCGCGTTACGCGAATGGAGATGGGGGCGGTTACCCCCCCACAAGCTACGGCTGTTGACGCAAGCAGCCAAAGATCTGATCAGAGGGCCGCTACCAATACACCCGATCTAGGGCCTCAGAGTAAACATAAGTTTATGTCTCGCGTCAAGATCGCGATCAAATCTAGGATATCGAAATGAGGGCAGCTAAGCAACATGTTAGCTAGTGCTTTGTCCAGCTTATCTATCAACTGCTGTAGATAAAAGAGCTATATAGGCTAGATATGAGTCGGTAATAGATAGCTTACTATCTATTAATCTATTTACTAACATATTTATAAAGAGTGATATCTCTTGATAGTCGAGAGTGATGTAAATATATATACATAGTTATACCTATATGTATAGATAAAAGGAAAGACACTATGCTAGTGTGGTGTATACCTATAGTCTACCTTAACTTAAACGAAGGCTACGAAAATGAGAATAATATGCCTTCTTGCCTTCAGATAGCCGATAGTGTCTTTAGATATTTTTTAATATCATTTCTAGATACCTTGGGGGAAAGGAAGCCTTTTCGGAACTAGGGTACCTTACTTATCTATCTCTCTTTGAATATAGCATATCGAATAAATAAACCAGGGCTAGCTGGATAAAGAGGAGTGAGTGAGTGAGTGACTGTATGTGTTTATTGTTTGTTGGTTGTAGTTTATTTAGTTAGTTAGTAAGTAGTTGCTGCTGACAAAAAAAAAGAGTCTCCAAGAACGGAGAAGCGAGAAAAGGGCAAAAACAAAGACCAGTTTGGGAATCAAGCTCAAAGTGTACTGTAGATTTTATAGGCAGCAAGACGACACATACTACAGATTTTACCACTACACCACAACCGGTCTTTGTTGAAAAGCAAAACAGTAAAACCTTCTCATATACCCGCGGACGACCCTCTGTGCCCCTCGAAGACGACCAACAGGATCTTTCAAGGTAGTGTTGACCGAGTCTAGCTTAACAGCGGGCCATCCTTGAAGAGGACTCGAAAAGAACATACTTGATTCGCAATACCTTAAAAATCTAGCTATCATCAATGCAATCCCCCTGTTCTGAACCTATCCGTGCCCCGTCCCAAACGCCACGCTTGTCTCATATAAGATACATGAAGGAAATAGGGAAATACACGCTGTCACCTGCAAACCCAAGGCCTGCAGGTTACAAAAACATGTTCCTCGAATCGGCATCCTTCTTGCTCTGGCCCGGGGCCGTATAATCAATACCACTCAGATTCGTCAGGTCCTTCTCAAACATATCCTGGATCTTGGTAATCTGCAGCAGCTGTTTCAGATCGAGCTTGACCTCGTCAAACGCAGCCAAACTTTCAGCCGCCTTGATGGCGTTCTTGATCTGTCGTCCGTTGAGATCGTGTTCGGCCAGAACGCCAAAGCCACGCTCGTCAATGTCGACGCCGCCGGGAACGCGGCCGCAAAAGTTACGCCAGATCTGCTTGCGCGAGTCGACGCTCAGGTCGGTGTAGCGGATAGGGATGTGAATGCGCGACTTGAAGGCGTCGTCAAAGGTGGTGACGCGATTGGTCGTCAGGAACAGGATGCCGCTGTAGTACTCGAGCACTCGCAGGAACACGCTAACCATGGCGT